AAATTTGAATCTGCTGCCAAAGAGCGCATAAACAGCTTTAACAATGCTGTTATCTTGCAATTAGCAAGCTTTGCAGTACAAGTGGATTTCATATTCTAACAAATATGAATCTATCAAAAATATAAAAATCATTGAGGAGGAAAATTTGTTCCTTGGGTGATCTGTTGCCTAATGTCCTCAGTCCAAATCTATTGCAAAAGTGGAAGTCTATACCATTAGATCATTATTGGGCTACACCATTAGCTTTTATATCTAACACTGCCATAGGTTCTTTCCAGCTATGAAATATGTCTTAACATTGCCCTTGTGTTATAAGATTGAGACTCAGTTTTCACGTTTGATCTTTCATTGCTGGAGCTTTAATCTTATAGCGAGAGGCAGCAAAAAAAAAATGGTGTGCAAATTCTTGCTGAGAGTGCCTAATTTATAGGACTGTCATAATTTAGGCTTTAAGTTCATGCATATTTAAATTTACATGTTTCATCCCATGAGTATTTCTACCTATGTCAAGAAGGATCTCTGGTCTTCCAAAACCAAAACCAGTTAAATTATTATGAGAAATATTTTATTGCTTAACTTTGTTGTATTTATCTTACAGTTAAACATTTGATGTTTTGGTATATTACATGGGTTCCCTCATGTCAAGATAGTAGGTTACCAAGGATTAGTTCATGTAACATCCTAATTTGACCTTGTAGGCATATATATTTGGTTGCACAACACTGCACCAAAAATCCAATTCAGACTGAGGACAAGACTTCCTGCCTTTGTTATAAATGGGAAATTCTTTCATCTTTCAGAAGTCAGTGAAAGGAAGAAGTTTTGGGTGTGCTTGTGTTTTTAAAAACCCCTCCCTTTCTCCTGCTTATTCTTAAAAAATAATCTGCTGCACTGCAAAGTTTGCAATGATCTAGTGAACGACTAGATTTTTAGCCAGGAAACTATTGAGCTTAGCAATGAAATAGTTCAGGTAGCTCTCTCAGCAAGATAAAGCTTTAGTCAGGGTTCAGCAAAGCAATTACTCTAGCAGACATATTTCTTGGAGAGCATCGTTTTATAAGTCAGGAAGGCCCAGAATGGCTTCTCATCTGATTAAGTTGGGCTGTGGGGTTGTTGTATGCCAGTGGTGGCGAACTTATGGCAAGGGTGCCAGAGGCGGCACTCAGAGCCCTCTTTGTGGGCACGCACGTTGTCGCCCCAGTCCTAGGCCTTCAGCTGGGTTTTATAAAACCTTTTCACTTTAGGCCTCCGCTGCCATGTGCAAAAAAAAAAAAAGGTTCAATCAGTCAATTTCAACTTCTCGCGGGGAAAAAAAGTTCTTGCAAAGTTGGAATTGATTGATTGAACTTTTTAGTCCCACTCAGTCTGCCGTTACCACAGCAGCCACGCCCACCCAATGGGCCACGCCCACCCAATTGGGTTGCAGTTTGGGCACTCAGTCTCTAAAAGGTTCGCCATCACTGTTGTATGCTTTCCAGTGATTATACTAGTGATAGTGCAAAGCTGTAAGGAGCAGATCATCCTGCATGTTCTCTGATGACATAAAACAGGAGGAGGGGGGTGTCCAACATTAGCTATTTTAAGACTTGTGGACTTCATTTCCCAAGATTCCCCAGACAGGCATGCTGACTTGGGAATTTTGGGAGTTGAAGTCCACAAGTCTTACAGTTGCTGATGTTAGACACCTCTGGCATAAAGAGGTAACTAAGCATTGAAAATGAGCTAGCTGACTGCAGTACCACTAAGCCAGGGGTGGGGAATTATATCCCTTTTATGACTTGTGGACTTCAACTCCCAGAATTCTGAAAGTTGAAGTCCACAAGTCATAAAGGGGCCATAGTTCCCCACCTCTCCACTAAGCAGTTCCACTAAGCTGAAGCAGCAGTACTGTTACGGTAGTTGTAGTTAACCTGCTGTAGAAACATAAAATAAACTATATTCCCTTTATTAGCATGCTTGGCATAGGTAGTGTGCAGAAGTATATAAATAGACAGTACATGCTCTGATGAAACAATCATTCAAGTTTAACACAAAGTCAGTTTACCTTTGTGGGTGACGCTTTCTGCTGCAATGATATAATGGAGAAATGATTATGTTTTCTTCATCTCGGACAACTATAGTCTCTTGGCATTCACTATCAGATCACAATCATCATCTTTGAGAGAACACCTTGCTTCTGGGTAATTCCAAAGTGGAGTGGGATGATACAAAAGTTTTAGAAAATCATTAATACAGAATAACTGGCAATTTTAGAATGATGATCTCATGAACTTGAAAGGTTACTGAGGTTGAACTGGCTGAATAAGGCACTAAGAAGATTGGTGGATGTGCAGGAAGATCAGAGTTTGTCTCGGGGGAAGATTAGTGGCAGACCATTGAGACGATGGGAGGTGAAGGCTACTTTAATGCTTGTGCAAAACGGTGGATGGGTTTAATGGATACTGAGATGGGAGGTCCCTAAAAAGTCATGGTACTGAATTTTGTGAGAATCTTTGGTGTAATTACAGCTTTTAGATCTGCCGGAGTCTAAACATATGTGTGTATCTAGATCAAGGTCTTTGGGATTTTCTCTTTTAGTCACTGTATTTTAAATATCTGGGATTTCTTTTTTTAGAAGTCAATGGTTAAAGGCCCTTTTGGCAGACTTGTTCTTTAACATCTATTAAACAATATTACTATTGTGATCAATAATTTGTTTTAACCTTAGTCTTACTGAGCATACAGGAATTTTGTTTCTAAACCTAATTTGTTTTTCTTTTATTATTATTTAGTCTAAGAAAGACTAAATAAATAAACACTTAATAAAGCTGGTGTTTAAGTGGCAAAATGTATCCAACAGCTGTTTCTTGTCCAGGCTCAAGTATCAACTAAAATCACGGCTTAATAAATTAAAAACCAAACCTTGAAAAAGTTGTGTTTGAATAATTAAGAAAACATAATTTACAAAAATGAGTGAGAATGAGCAAGTAACCTGAACTTAAATTTAGGATGAAATTCCCTAAAGCTTACTGGTATATTATTTGCTCTGCTGCTTTGCTTCCTTGGATAAATTATTCTACATTTTTTCTGTACCTAACTCTGTATTTGTAAGATGAGAATAACATTGTCCCAAGTGTGTAATATGTGCATTTACATGAAAGAGGAAAAAAACATCATATCTAACATCATTTTTATCTTTCTGTTTAAGAATGATATTTTATAGGTGCAGTTAATTTGAAGCTAGAATGCAAATCTTAAAGCATGCCAGAAAGCCAATTTCTAGAACTACATTCTCCTTTCATTTCAGCAAAGGAAACCTGAATCTTTCCTTGTGGGAATTATTCTAGTGGAAAGTAGAAAGAAGTCGTCTGTTTCTAATGGATTTTTGACACCTGGAGAAAGAGTTATACTTGGGGGGGAAGAAGAAACATAGCCATTTAAGATGGGAATGTGACAAAAGTGAGAAATGAATAAGAAACTTGATATAATATAAATATATAGCTTTAGTTTGAACATAGATTTGAATTATTACCTACTCTTTAATGTACATTTAATGTTGTTTACAAAGGAGTTCCATTTTGTCATTTGGTAAACTAGCATAGGTATGAGTTTGAGCAAATAATAATAGTGAGGATGTATTCCTACCATCTCAACTGGAGTATTCCTATTCAGAGTTTCTGCAGAAGTCAGAAGTGAACCATTAGGACAGGGGTGTCAAACTGCCGGCCCGCGGGCTGGTTTCATCATACCGGAACCACGCCCACTCCATTGCCGGCAATGGCAAAAAAGCTCCGATACGTCACGTGACATCACATGATGAGTTTGACATGTCTCCATTAGGGTCTCAAGCAAAATTGATTCCCTCATTCTTCCTCTGACAATTTATTTTCCAGCCAACATCAACTCTTGAACATTCATTTAGGACTATTGGACTTTTGAGTGAAATGTTGGGATTAGAAGGCCTGCCTTTCTGCTTTCCATGAAGAACTCTACTTAAGCCTGCTGATAATTAGCCACTTGCTTATTAGATTCCTTACTTTGCCTCTTCTTCTTTCAGTAGCAAGACACCCCAAATTGTTTATTGGAAAGGCTGACTATCTATGAAACGATCAGTATCTACATAGCCACAGGGGGGAAAATATGTAACTGTCAGCATTGACAGATCAAGTGTGAGCTGCAGAGGTCACCAACATCTTACTGTTCCTCAATCATTTCTAAAATAGTCTTGACTGGAGAGCTGCCTTGTTCCTTTTTAACTCAACCAAATCCATTTCTCTTACAACTGTCTGCTTGTTAGTATTCTAGCAAATTGAATTCTATAATAGCAGCACTGAAATACAGTAGATGATGTAACCTCTCTTTGGATGAACATTTTAATTTTAGTTCAGAGGAAGAATGCAAGCCGGTTATTCTCACATCCTAAAATTTTATTTCCTCAGTGTGAGTGAGAGAATGTGTGTTTTGTCCTTTTTCAGAAAGGTTTGTAAAGTTCCTATGCTTCACATATTAGCATAGTATTACCTCCCTGTTATTTTAAAATATATGTTCTGTTGTGATGGTATAAAACCTGAGATGCAGTATATCAAAAATTTTCCTCCTGATATTTTTTATTCTATAGGATAATTTGCAGATTTGTTAGTTTATCTCAGAATTGTGTCTTGCAGATTTGGATGTAGCTTTTGCACCTTAATATTTGCTGAAAAGAATAACAATAGGAACTATGCACCAATTTTAATGAGGCCAACACTATTAACCATATAAAATATTATTAATATTAATAATATAAATATTATTAAAAATATCATTAAACACATGAAAATAAAGTAGGCTTATGGTTTATGGCAATTGGACTTTCACATACTGTGTACGTTCCTTATGAAAGTTATCTAGAGGATGTATCATTTCAGACAGCTTGGTGCTATACTAAGAAACTTTTAATCAAATAAAAAACATTTAAGATATTTTTTCCTGTCCTTATGATATTGTTAATGTCCTTTTCTGTTTTATTATATTTTTAATAGTACTTGCTGACAATTTGAAATCAAATCCTGGAATCAAATGGCAGTACTTTAGTTCAGAAGAAGGCATTTTTACTGTGTTTCCAGCTCACAAATTCCGATGTAAAGGCAATTATGAACACCGCAGCAGGTATGGTTTTGGTGTATTCAGTATAAGCATTTTGGAGATAAAAATACTTTTATTAGTAATGTCATTCCAGTAGAGAATTTAGATTTCAGGCATCTCAAATGACAAGAATAGCATGATGAACTCATTCAAAATTTAGCGTTTCACCATCTTCCAGTTTACAAAATACAGATTTTTTAAAAAATTATATCCATTAACATTACAGGTATTCTTCACTTTACAACAGTAATTGGGACTGTAATTTCTTGTCTCTAAGTGAAGCATATATAAAGTTTGATGTCATTTGACCATCCCACTTGGCAACTGCAATTCTGGCAATCCCTGGTTTAAAGTCATTAAGTGAGAACAGCATGGGTTGTTCAGTGAGGACCTCATGTGATCATGACTCCTGACTTTCTTCCAGCTTCCCCATTGATTTTGCTTGTGAGAAGATGGTAGCAAAGATCACAAATCATAATCATGTGTCTGTGGGATGTGCGATGGTCAGAAATCCGGACTAGTTGCTGAGCAACCAGATCACAATTACATGACCATGGAAGTTGTACGATGGCTGGCACTTCAAGGACCAGTCAAAACTACCACTTGTTCAGTGATATTGGCACTGAATTAGTGGCCATCAAACAAGTAGTCTGTTTTAACTTTCTCAATCCAGGGGAAAATAAATGGCAATTGTTCTCTTTTCCCTTATGGCATATTTAACAACATTTTTTGCTCTTTAAAAAATTAATAAACTTTTCAAAAGTATTTTACATAGATAAAAAAAACTTTCATAGCACATCCTATATGGATCATATTCCGTACTATTAATAGAAAAGTTGGCCTTGACATTAGACTTTTATTCATGATAAAAAAAACAAACCTTAAGCCTAATGCAGCAATACAATTTTACATTTCTTGCATAGTCTTTTAATATGCCAGTAACTATATTAGATTACATTAATTTATCTGCCTAATTTAGAATCAGTGCATCAGACGATATAAATACACATCAGGACTACCTTACAATTCTATTTTATGAAAGTGATTATTTGTAAAAAAAATATTCCTAATGGGCAAACACTGTAATTAGTTGTACTAATATTAAAGTGAATATTAAAGGCTGTATTAAGATAATCAGTATAACTCGTTCCAGTATAGTTGGATTAAAGGCTGAGGTGACGGATAATAGATAATAATTATCTATAGATAATAGATAGTATCTATATATAGGATTCTTGAGTAGAAATATGAAGGCTAACATTTTGGAGGAAAATAAATTTTCTTTTTTAAATGATAAAATAGGTAACATATGACTGTTTTGGTCTGCAATTTGCTGAAACCAAAATAAATATGTAAAGATAAGTTTAACACACAGTTAATTCAAATAATGCCTTTGGACAATGCAAGAAACTTCTGGAGTTTGTCTGTTGTAATTCTCTTAATGAGTGTGAAGCACAGCATCCTGTAACTTTTATTTTTAGGCCTGTCTACGTCTCTACAGTTAGACCTCAGTCAAAGCATGTAGCTGTCATTATAGACCATGGAGCTTCAGTTACAGAAACACAACTGCAGATTGCTAAAGATGCAGCCCAGGTTATTCTGAACTCAATAGATGAACATGATAAGGTAAGCTAACTCAGAATGGTAAGTCGGAACTTAGTTTTGATCCTTCAAATGTTTGCCTAATTTCTCCCAAAGTATTGGGAGAAAGAGCAACTTTGGAAATGAGATTGGAGTTGGGATGAATCATATTAATTGCCCATAGAAGTTTCTATGAGTGTGAAGTACCCTGTCCTCTGCTTGAAAACCCAAATATTCAGACAGGAGGGGCAGGGATCAGACTATCTCCATTACCTTATAAAGCTGTAGGATGGTATTTACCCCAGTCTCAGTTTGGCATATCCCTTTAATGTGAAACAAAAATAGAAACTAGCAGATGAGATCTAATAAGGAAAAAGTAAGTGTACTCAACATACATACCACCTGATCTGAACATCCTTAATCCAAGGGACTTTAAAAGTGGCAAATGATTTGCCTCTTCACTCTATCACAGAAGTTTAAGATTACTGAATTAATTAATTAATTAGAATTAATTACTTTACTATGGAAGTGTTCAAAGGCTATTCAAAAATTAGTACTGGTGGCTCCCTCACTCTGTTTCTCAAGCTTCAAATATGGCAAAGGAAAAATTGAACAGATTTGGATATAATCTGATTATCTCAGAGAAGAATAAGACTAGAAAATAAGATGAGACAGCTTTCACCCCTTTCATTCTGAATTTTGGAAATGGTATTGGAGGAAACTCTTAGTATGGCATGTGTACTTGAAGCCTTCTGCTACATATTCTGGAGAAAAAGATAGATTTATGTATTCATGAGCAAATTTACTTTCATGATTATTAGAAATAAGATTGTTACTTTGAATTTCATTCAGGGGTCTCATAAATGTAGGGTCCCCACTTCTTTCTGTTCCCTAAAATAATCTGCTAGTTGCTTTATTTTCATCTGAAAGTTCAATGACACTTTCTGATTATTATTACAAACATTTTACATAAGAAATAATACTTTGTTGACAAACCAAAGATGTGATTTTTAATAAATTAACTATCCTTAAGTTTTATAGATATATGCCTTTAGTTTTGATTCAACAATTAAAATTTAAAATCAGATAGGCTTTTCTATTGTTATTATAGCACAATGTAAAAAAAAAAAAGACAACTCTAAACAGGAGGTAATTTTGTTTTATCCTTCTTCAGATTTCTGTGTTAACTGTGGCAGACACAGTGAGAACTTGTTCTTTGGATCAGTGCTACAAGACATTTCTGTCTCCTGCTACTAGTGAGACAAAAAGGAAGATGTCCACCTTTGTTAGCAATATCAAATCATCTGACAGCCCTACCCAGCATGCAGCAGGCTTTCAGAAAGCATTTCAGTTGATGCGAAATACAAACAATAGCATCAAACCTCAAGCAAGTAAGTATATTGTTACACAAAATTAATACCTTTGCTCCTGATCTTTTTTTCCTTTTTGGATTTGGGTTTTTCTTTTTAACAGGGCAGAGAAGAAGAGAATGTCTTCAATTCTATAAATATTACCTGGAATTATTTTTTTTGTTTTTAGCTTAATCTATACAACAACCCAAAGAAACTTCATTTATTGTACTATCTTTTCTTTATCATTTCTCATCCCTTAATGATTACAAGATACTATTAGTTATATAAAAGTACAATATGATGATATGCTATGGAAATTGTTTATGGTTCCATTTTTTCAGGGTGTTCCCTCCCCCCCCCCCCCAAACATACAGCCTTGGTCTATCCTAGTAGCCTTCCATCCAAGTATTAATTATGGACAACCTTGCCTAGTTTTTGAGATAATCCAAGTTTAACTATACCAACTAATATTTAAAGTTGTGCAAAGACCACATGTCTAAGGGAGTCCAAAGAATAATGTGGATGAATAAAATGTAGTTCCAACATAAAGCTAAGCAGGTCGGCCTCACCAATGCATCTGGAAGAATGCCAGTAGCAATCCTTTTTCTTTTCTTCTCTGAAATACATTGATCAAGCTGCTCCAGGATAGCCTGGTAGGTTTCCAGAAGTTAGATTAATTTCTGGGAAACTGCCTGATCAACCCTGGAACAACCAGATCAGTCTGATCAGAAGGACAAAAGAAACATATTCTGGAGTTCTCAGTTCTGAAACAGCCAATGTTGCTCATGTATCAAATTGTGTCACTTGAGATGTGGAAACTTAGATGCAACCTATTTTCATATTTGGTGGACATGCAGGGAAGTAAAAGCATTTTGGATTAAGATATGGTGGAATATTCAAAATATTTTTAAGAAAAAGATAAAGTTTAAACCGCAGATATTTTTGCTGGGTATTATGGAAGATTTGGATACAAAAGAAATGGATTTGATGTTGAATTTGATAACTGCTGCAAGATTACTACTAGCTCAATGTTGGAAAACGGAACGTTTGCCCACTATAGAAGAATGGTCACTTAAAGTCTCAAATTTAGCAGAAATGGCTAAGATTTCCGCTTATGTAAAGGATTACTCACAAGAAAGATATATTTCGGTTTGGAGAAGATGGATAGATTATATTGAGAGTAAATATGGTACTAAAAAATTTCATTTGGTTTTTTAGTAAATTTTAGAGTAATAATGTAGTTTATATGCTATAATAGGTTACTTACTTTTATTTATAATTAATAATATGATGTTATAATTATTGCATTTAATATTAGCATATTTGTTTAAAAGAGAGTTAAAGGATGTTATAGATTTGTTATTCTAATAGTTGATTAATGTTAGATAGAGTATGGTTATTGTATTGTTAACCCTGTGATTGGCTCTGGGAAGTGGGGGGAAGGGAGGGGGGAGGGCAAGGGTGGGTTTTGGGGAGGGGGGAATTATATTGTAAAACTTTTATAAAATTTTCAATAAAAAAAATGTGTCACTTAAAGTTGGTAGTTTTGATACTAAATTTTGGCAGTCCAAGCTGGATGTACTCGGAACTTGTAATTTTTTTAAAGCCCACCCAAAACCCCTTCCAGATGGGTTGATGAATTTTGGTCATGCAAACCTAGAAATTATTTGGAAGAAGGCCTTCAGAAATAATCCTTTGGCTTATTTATTAAAATAAATACAGCTTATTTAATTGTATGAGTTAACTCATAAAGCAGCAGCATCATTTTTCAGACTCAAATGGAAGTCTGAAAAATGTCAGGCTGCCTTAATAAATAGCAGAATGTTGCTGAGCTCCACACTTGCACAAAGTCCAAACAACCTCTTCCAAATCATTTTTGAAACATGCACAACCGTATATGATGGACCATGGCTTTCTTAAATGTTATGGCTATGCTGGAGTGTCAGACTAACTGATCAAAGCTGTATAATAAAATTTTGTATAATCAGATTAAGCAGGAAGAAGTGTTTGTATTCCTGAATGCCTGTTAGGTAATGAAATTAGACTGTTACCGCAATTGGTATCATTAGCATTAATGATTACATTTTTCACAATGTGAAAAATTGATCCATTGCATACAAAAGTCAGTTAATTAGAGACCTGCAATATTGAGGTTTCACAATATTGTTATCTCTTCTGAATATATTTTTATTTATTTTTATAACGAGATATGTATGTACGTAATTGTTATAAAAATAGCAACATGCACACATGGATTCTTGAAGCATCTCCCCTTGTTTTACATTGGAGTTATTGTAGTTTAGCATAAATACTAATACTGAGGAACTATACTGTGTAGTAAAGTACTGGGTACTCAGTATAGTACTGAAGAACTATGTTGTTTGGTCATGAGGAGGATGTGCTTCTATTTTTCATAAACAATCTTCTTGATTGTTGTTATATCTAGTACAAATATGGTTGTATTAAAATATTGCGATGTTTTTAACATCTTGCTTTCTCAGCAGGCTCAACATGCACATCATCAAGTCTTCTGAATGGAGATTTATGATGCAAAATATTGTTGAGAAACACCTAGCACAAAAAATAAGATGAGATTGGAAATTTTGGCATTTTTAATAACTTTCAACCATTAAAAACAGGGGCATCGTTTAATTAATTTTAGCTCCTTAAATTCCTTTAATTCTAGGAACATCATGAAACTTTAAAAAATATTATCATAATGCGACTTATATTATAATTCAGTAAATCAAGGAAAAAATAACAGGCAATATGCTGGAATATAGTTGGCTGATGGTAGAAAATTAATGTTGGGAGAGTTGGTTATCAAAATTATAAAGAGGAGACTATTAACAATAGTGGTATTTGGTGTCCTATTTGATGACAGTTATGTTCTCTTAATGGCTTGTTCTTACTGAACAAGCCATTTACTTACTTACTGAATACTTTTCCATAAGCTGTTTCCATTAGTGATTGTAAGGAAGCCATATAAATGCTATTTACTGATTCAATCTGCAAGGCTTGGCATGCTATGGGTTCCATTAATTAAACAATGCTATCCATAAGGATCCTGGAAGTATATCTTCTCTATAGCAGCACCTATCCTCTAGAATGCGGTTGCTCCCAAATTTGAACAATTTCCACTCCTTAGGGATTTCACCCAGACCTTTGAAGAGGACGATTGATCCCCCTTTCTTTGATTGATGTTCCCCTCTGCCATTATTGTCCCTTTGTCTCATGCTATTTTTGTATTTTATCTATTGTTCTCTGTTTTTTTAACGTTTTAACAATTATAAACCACCCAGACTCTCTGGGAGTTGGGTGGCATGTACATTTGATAAAGCATCATCATAATCATCATTATTAGCAGCAACAGCAACAGAATCAAATAGCATTCTTAAATTTATCCAAAAGTAATTTGATTGACATGTTTTTTCCCCCCCAAAGGTATTGCATTGAAAAGGAAGGTTTAAAAACATGCAAAACTTCTAACCTTTACAAATATTTCCTGCTTTTTCAGTCAAAGGATCAAAGTAAATGCATGTATATAAAATAGAAATGTCATCTTTTTATATCAAAAAGAGATGAGAACACAGTCTGCTTTTCCTCTGGCTTAACTGCCCTATTGAAATCCTAATCTTAATGCTCTGGCCTAAAAATGGAAAGTTAATATAAAGGAATTGTTAATAACAGATGGTATATCTTTATTTTAGATGATGTATAACATTCTGTGTAATACACACACACACACACACACACACACACACACACACACACACAGAGCAGTCTTTTGTAGGTAACCTTGGAAAACTATCTTCTGTTTAATTTGGTGCTGAAATTTGCAAACATTGGTTTACTTAAGGTTTCTTTTATTGGGTACCAAAATTAGCGACATTACATGGAGTAGAACTTTGAGTATTTTTATGACAATGAGAAATCTACTCCACTTATTACAAGCATAATTTTAATCTTGAGAATCTACTATTGTAAATACTTCCTAGTATGTTAGATTATATGCACATCAGGTCTCTTCTTATATTTCTTAGACACAGATACAGTCATAATTTACTTATCAGCTGGAATAGCATCAAGAGATTCATCCGAAGACAGTAAAAAGACTACTCTTCGTGTCATCAATGAAGAAAATAGTTTGCTTAACAACTCCGTAATGATCCTTACTTATGCTCTCATGAATGGTAAGATGTGTTTGGAATATTAAGGGTCTTTCAGTTGTATATTCAGTATTTTGAATTTTCAGAAGGCATGGGCTATACTAATAAAATTATTTTTATATATATGCATTAAGTTGTATAATGACTAGTTTATAATTTCCACTCTTTGAGTTCTCAGTTCGGTTTCATAAACTAGGTGCTTTAATTTTTCTCTCTGTTTATGTCCAATGTCTATATTTGCAGAGGGTGTGACAGGCTTAAAAGAATTAGCCTTTCTTCGAGATCTGGCAGAACAAAATTCAGCAAAGTATGGAGTCCCAGATCGAACAGCTTTTCCTGTAACTAAGGGCAGTATGATGGTCCTTAACCAGCTGAGCAATTTGGAAACAACTGTTGGACGGTTTTATACAAATCTCCCAAACCATATGATTGATGAAGCAGTCTTCAGTTTGCCCTTTTCTGATGAAATGGGTGATGGTAAGAGCTTCCTCTTTTTTAAAACAACAACAACAATGAAAAAGCACATATAGTAGCATGAGTTAAGAGCATTCATGATGGTGCTACAATAAAACAATGTCACATAGGAGGCCTATTGGGGGGATGGGACGAGTAAAGGGCATCTGTATTTTGCATTTGTGTCAAAAATGAAATTCTCTGTTTTGATCCATTTCCCCCCAAAACCTAGCTATCTAAATAGCTGGTGCTGACATGCACATAATTATATTTGAAATGTTACTTTTGTTGAATATAAATTATGCCACAAAGGGCAGTTTTCAGCAGGGGACGAGTCTTCCATCTTTTGTTGTATTACGAAGCTTTTGGTAGGCAGTAAGAATAAGAAGTTATTTGATCTTTGTGAGGCTGAGGAGGTGGAGTTTCAGCTGGGAGTTTGTCTTCCTCATGAGGGATGACATGAAAATTGTGATCTCAAGCCAGGGCAGTTTTGAATGTAAAACGCCTTGCTTGTCCTACAGAAATAGCTTGAACTGTTTCTGTGCACTGAAAGATACTAATGGTCACGATAACTTGATTCTTTTTTGTTATACAGCTTGTGTTTTGGGAAAGTTAGACATGTATTTATGCAGGTAAATGTATTAGAAACTTGTGTGGAGGAAACCTAATTTATGGGAAAGGGTATCCAATGATTGTCGGGAAAGAATTTAAGCAGCCACTGTTACTGCTTGATCACAGAACATTGCCTCCTGTTTTGTTAGAATAACTCAGTAGATCTACATCCATATCTTCCTAGGATTAAAATTAACAAATCATTTGGGGCTGCTTCTTAGATCAAAATAATGTAGTTCTAATAATAGGACTTGAATATCTAAAATTGGAGCTGGATTTTGCTGTTGGACGTTTTTACTCAAAATGCAGCCATGAAATTAAGCCTACTGCAGAGCTTGTATTCCTCTGGATTCTTCACTGATGTTTTTTAATATGGTGCTCAGTGAGGCTTATCTAAACTTAGAGGTTATCAGTCACAGCCTAAAAATAGCCACTTTGGTTCTTAATCAGTGTTAAATCTACTGGGTAGTTCAAATCAGATGGAGTTCAGCTTGGAAAGAAATTCAGCTTCCAAAATTGTGTAAGAAACATTTTTCTTGTGGTAATCATATTACCATGCTCAGACTGCTACAAGTTTTGATTAATTGACAAAGGGTGGGAACATCTTTTACAAACTTTTAACTGACACAGAAACTATTCCCCCTTTTTTTTTTTAAAAAAAAAGGTAAGCTTATTATTATTCTGAGTCACACTTTTATCACTTCTAGTACAGACTACTATAACTTTATATTTGATGACACCATGAGGATAGCTTAAAGTCAAACTACATGCTGCATTAAATTTGTAGTATGTAGCTCTGTGTAGTCATGCATTATTCAAAAGTAAGTCAGGAATGCTCCCGATCCAGAGCAAGAATATATAGCACACAAGATAAGAAAATTAAATCATTTCTGCTTCCATCATTGCCTCTTGACATTTAACGGTTACTAGAATGTAGGAACATGCCCAGTCTATTCATCAGCAATATTATGTGTTTTAATGTACTTCATAGTTTGAACCTTAGCTAAATGTGGTCCCTGCTCTATGTGTCATTGTTAAAGTGAAAATGACAAGAGAGGAAGGCCTATATCTTAGTCTTATCAAAGTTGTGCAATAATCTGTGTAATGATGGTGAGATTGCTTCAGTTTTATAACTTAAAGAAAAGGTATAAAACATCTCTCTTCTGGAATGTTCAATGTTTCTGGAGCTACTGATGTTTTGGTTTTGATTTTTCATGGCTGAAGTTTTTATACTGTTTGAAAGCATCCCGAAACTTTGGAAATGCAGAATACATAAGTTTTAAATGGCAAGGCTTAACTTTCAAAAAGCTGTATATCTGTGTTTCTCAAACTTTTTGCACTCATCGATCCCTGAATAAGGCTTCAGAAAATGCAGGAATTTCCCTGTTAAACCTGTATGCCATTCAAAGTGCTGATTGTCATCATTAAAGCTCTTCATGGCTTGGGGCCTGGATACTTATGAGATTGGCTTCTCCAGGTTGAATCTGACCACCCAGTGAGATCAGGAAGAGGGGGCTTGCTGAGGGTCCTTTCTTTCAAGGAATACCCAGAGGGTGAGCCATCTTGTCTGTCCTTTGGAACAGCTTCCTTCCAGATATATCCAGGTCTCGTCTGCTTTATTGGGTTTACAAACAGCTGTAAAGACTTAAAGATACTTCAAGATGCGGTGATTTAGTCTCTCCCCACAAGATGGCACTGTCATGAGTTGTGGAGTGTTTACTGGTTGGGGGTTTTTTGTTTGTGGTTTTAAGGTTTGTGGCATTCTGCTAGCCAAGGGGTAGGCAACCTTGGCTCTTTTATGACTCATGGACTTCAACTCCCAGAATTCCTGAGCCAGCATGCTGGCTCAGGAATTCTGGGAGTTGAAGTCCACGAGTCATAAAAGAGCCAAGGTTGCCTACCACTGTGCTAGACCCTTAAAGCCTATGGGAATTTAGTGGCATTGAAGCTTTGATAAATAAAAAAGCAAAGACCCTTTCCCTATACTTTCAGTTTTAAAAACATGAGACTATCTGGTTTTCAGTGGATAAGAAAATTACAGTTGCATTCCGTAATTTTACACTCACATTGAAGACATTTTAAATATTTTTTTAAAAATTCCATTTGAGTTATTTTATGTGCCATATGGAAAAAATAGACCTGTATTAATGATACCTCCTCAAAACTGGCTGGTCTATAATGTTTTTAGATGGCAATCCTTGAATTTCATATCAGTGGGAGAGGTCTCCAGAGAGAGGTATCTTTTGACAGTGTAAGTTGTATGACATTGCCTTGGAGGAACTGTATGATAATGTCATACAGTGGAATTGAGTGGCAGTAAACATTGGGAATGAGAGACTGAGGTGGCATATGTCTTTGCTGTGGACACAGGGAGACAGAGGCTGAGCTAGCAAGCAGGCTGTAGTTGGGAAATACAGATGGTTGTGGACAGCATGGACCACAGAGGCGGGATCACTGCTGTATATAATTGTGGAAGATACATATTGTACAGTTACGAAAAATAACTTCCACAGTTATCCCAAAAGTGCTTTTTCACAAGGCAACTGGACTTTCTTGTTTAAACATAAACATATAAAGGTGCCTTGTGAAAAAGCACCGTTGGGATAACTATTACTTGGACGACTGAGAATCTCCATAGATGTTTAATTACCACAGTGTATTAACATTACAAGATACGCAATGCATGCAAGAAAGAGGGTATGTAAATGCAGTCAAGAATTTTAAATCACTTCTGGATGTATGCAAATTCAAGCCTGTATGCTATTTATTGAGAATAATTTATTGAGTATTTCTCTGCTACAAAGACCCAAGTATCATCAGAAATAGCAACTTGCTTCTAGATATTTTTCTGATGTGGCCACAGAACAGATTAGTAAGAATATTCTGGAAACTCTTTTATAAACTCTTCTGGACCGTGGCAATATTAGTTGAGAAGGTAGGAGAGACTTTCCAAAGCTCACACCATCAAGATCTTCCTAAATTTTTGTATGCTTCTTTTTTAGAGTTCCATATCAGTTGCTAGATTGGGATTTACTGTGTCAAAAAGAATGTAATGAACCAGCTTGTTTTCAAAAATCTGGAAATGTGATGCAATGATTTCATTAAAGCTAAACAGGTTTAGATGTGTTCAGGGAGTGCCCGGATTAGTCTGGGACTTCTCTGCGTGCTGTCTTGATCTACCTGAGATGAAGAGGAGGTGTATATTTTTTAATTATTTTTT